CAGCTGCCACCCCACACCTGGGGTCTGCCAGCCACCACCTGTGCACCCAGGGTCCACCCACTGCGGTCTTATGCACCTAGTCCTGCCGCTCTTTGTGCTGAGACCTTTCTCTTCCCAGCTGTCCGACTCCACCCCTCCTGCTAGTCTGGATGAATGTGTCTATTTTAAATCCTTGGTTGTCCGACTTCCATACAATTTAATTTTCTGTCAGTTCTGGTTATTATTCTGTTTCTAAATTGTTGTTGTCCCTATCTTGGTAGTGCAAGGAGGCACAGTGTGTCTACTATGCCTCCATCTTGGCCTAAAGTTGGATTTTTTTGAACTGTGCAAATAATCTAGCAAAGGAATGGGCCACCCCCTGAAGTCATCCCTAGGGTTAGTCACACAGAGGGGAAGATATTCTCTGAGGGACAATAATCCAAAAAAGTGAAAGACTAAAGTATTTGATACCCATTATCTTTTCAACTCCATAATTCTAAGGAATTGGCTAAGACCAAAGAAGAAATAAATGGACATAAGAGTGATGGCCAAGATATAGCCGATATGGAAGAATAGGTTCTTCCATAAAGGGAGAGAGAACTGGGTCAGGAAGCTTCCAGAATTTACTCTGAATTTTTCATTTGATCTCTTCATTCCCAAATGATTAGGTTTTGTTCAGTTCTGATACTTCTTTCTGACCCACTATACCTCACTTGAAGGAGCTAAAAACAATTAGGTAAAACATTGAGCTCAGGGGCAGAAAAATGTAAACTGCTCCAGTTTGGGGCTCATGAAACTACCCTATCCAGGCTCAAGGACCTTTCTTTCCACACTGTCTCCATCCCGCCCACATTCTCTAACTGGGGCGGGGAGAGGGAAGCGTGGTATGAGCAAACAGCTGCAAGTGATGTCAGGGACAGCAAGCTGCACTGGGATCTTTCCCCTGAGACACTTTCTCTGCTCCTCCATTTCCAAGATGGAGCAGACCTTGCTTATCCACAGCTTGTTCTTTACATTCTATGACGGTATTAAGTCAGAACACAGTCCCTGCAGAAGAAGCCCCTTGGTGCCCACAGAAGCCTGGGGCTTAGTCACAACATCCCCGAGCATGTGTTTCTGTGTTAGAGGGGTTCTGGCCCAAGGACCTCCCACATCCCTGATAAATGGTCTTGTTTGTATCCTTGCAGATCTTAATCTCACTAATATAATGAGTTGAACTTATCTTCTTCGAAGTGCTCCTCATGGAATGAAATAACCCCTGTTTTTTTTTTTTTAATGTATTTCTGTCAATGCTTCTGAATCCACCTCCCTTTGTGTGAACTCATGTTATACGGGGCCGTCTGAATGTACAGGGCAGGTTGATAATGCCTCTGTGTTAGTAACTTATTTCAGGATATTTCACCGCTAAGCAAAACTGTGAGGTTCCTGTTTTCATACACTTTGTGATGGAAAGTATAGTCTTGTAGCCTATCTTTTCTAAAATCCCTTTTGAATGTGTCTTCAGAATGTTTCCAATGGCACCCAGACCATCTTGCCTGTACCTGCCTTTCTTTCTGTCCTCACTCCAGCCTGTCCCTCCTCCTCCTCCCTTTCCTGTTCCTCCCTCAGTATTCCTCCCTACCCCCGTTCCCCTCTGTTTGCCTCCACAGTCAGCAGTTTGTCTTCCTGGCAGCTACGAAGAGGATTGACATATTTGCTGCCTTCTCCCCCTTTCTCTGTAGCATGGAATCAGAATTTTATCTTGCCACCAGAACTGGAGAAGGCAGGGAAAGCATTAAACTCACTGTGTTCCTAGGTCTCCAGGTGTTTACCAACCTATACTTGCTCTGCTTTACAAATCTCACCCAGTATTCGAAGTAGTTAAGAAAATAGCATCTTGTTACCTTCAGTGGGCTTGAGATAAGGAGAAGCATCAACATCTGCTTCCTGTTTTTTTAGCAAAGGAACTGTGTTGGCAGTATGCATGTTTTGAAATAAGATAGAAAAGTTCATTTTAAGGGTCCAGATGCTCAGCCTTGATGGACCCTACAGAGCCCTGTCCTCCAAAGAGAAGGTGTCCTTTGAGACACTGCTCCACAAAGACCTACGCATGAGAGGCACTTAGTGGCCTTTGTTGACCTCCTGGCGACTTCACAGGACTAGACAGTTATGAACACATGAGTGAAAGGGAGCCAAGAGCAGCACTTTTGTTGTTTAACTTCGCCTCTTAGAGTGCGGGCCTCAGACCTGCAGCACAGAAATTCTTTTGCACTTGTTAGGGATACAGAATCCTGGGCCTCACGCTCAGCCTACTGAATCAGATGTATATATTTAAGTCCCAGAAAAATTTATGTGCAAATTAAAATCTGAGAAACACACACTTTATGGTACGCACTTGACAAATTCATTTTCTCATTTAATGAGGTAGTATTATCTATTGTAATGATCCCCATTTTACATGAAATGCTCTCTTCCTTCCTTCCTTTTTTGCTGTCATATACCCACTTCATAAAAACAGCACTACAGATAGCGAAGATAAATCCCCACATTCCAGATGGTGGTAGCTTGTTCTATAAATCCCCCACAAAGGACCCAGAACCATCCTACTCACGCAAATGCAAAGCATCACTCACAGTCCTAGCACACTGGTTTCTGTCTTCTTTGAAGCAATCCCTTCCCTTTGTGCAGCCAACACTCCTACGTTGACCAGCACTCATCAACCTTTACCATGGGGCTTTAAGACATCTGTCTGGTCTACACCACACAGCACAATATGGTCTATCCCATTCTCTGTAAGGAAAGGGGTCAGTGATCCTGCCTGAAGCATGTACCAGTCCCAATGAACAACACCCATTTGTTTGGTTAAATGCAGTGGGGTTTAATTACCTGTGGCAAATACAGTGTAGTACATTTTAAAAGAATAATGGAGTCATCGAAGTAGAAAGTCAGACTTTCTACCTTGCCACATTTATTCATTGCAGAAAAGGTTCAGTACAACAAATCTGGAAAGTCATTTTGGTGTATTTGATTTCACTGTTGTTTAACCTTTATAAATACTTAGATAGACTGGTCAACCTGCATCATTTCAACAAGTGAGGCAATTTTCATCTTTATTAGAATTCCTGAAATAAGTGATGTCAGAATCTTCAGGAAGGATGACATGAACTAACCTGAATGATCACATATCTGTTGGGTAGAAGGCTGTGACCAGCACCCTCACTCTGAGATCCCAGCAAATAGAGCCCTGGGGGCCTTAGAGCCCTTGGGGATCCAAGGCCCAGGAGGCGCTATGCTCTGGAGTGTCTTCCTTGAAATTTTCTAAGTTTCTCTGTGGTGCTTGAGACCAGCCTAGGCCAGCAGTAACATTCAAGGGAGACCGTGACATTTGAGACTGGGAGTTTGGACCTGCCCCAGACCCCATTCCTAACCTTCAGATCACATTTCCAACCTCTACCATCAGCTATTCCTCACATGCATTCAACCCAATTCCTTAGGGTTACAAAACTCACACCTATGGGCTGGTCCTGGGGTTCCATTAACAGGTCCAAGTTCCAAGAGGGTAGACTGGTAAAAATATGGTTTCTGCTGGCCAATGCAAGGTTTCTTAAATGGGACTGCATGTGATTGGGCTACCAGGATAGCACAAGTTTCAGGTGAGTCAAATGTTTATATTGAGAGGGGCTCCACACCATCTATGAATTGTCTGGGGAACCAGCACCCAGACACTGATGGCAGAGCCTGGTCAGGCATAGCCTGGAGTAGGGGATGGAGGCAAGGATGCCAGCAAGAGGGGACAAACAAGTTTAGGGAAATGGGCAGAGTGGATGGAAACTGCCCAAGGCTTAGACTTGGAGCAAACAAGATGCCCAAACATCTGCCTCTCTCCTTCTACCCATGAGCACATCCCCTGGGCATACCATATCCTCCTGTTCCCACCTATGATGGACCCCAACTTAGTTGACTGAGCACCCATTGGATAAGAATATGCTTCTACAGAGCTGTGAGGGAGGTGATGATGAGTTTGTGCAGTCCTGAAAACTAATTTTGCTCTAACTCTTGGAGCAAGAAAAGGGATCAGGCAGCAGGCCTGTAAGAAATGCAAATGGCTATACTTCCTCCTTGGTTTTTGTGTTAGCTGTGTTTTCACTGGAGCCTGGTCCTTCGACAGAACTTAAAATATTTGTATTTCAAGACAGAGGCTATGGGGCAAGGAATAAGGCAGAGGGGCCAGGATGTAAAAATATCATGTAATGGAGACTACAAACAATGTAAATTTTGCAGTTCCAGAGTATTTTGAATCATGAATTGCAAACTTCATAAATGCCTAGGACTAGAGCATCTAGAATGCTCCACAAAGTCAGCTATTAAATCCACGAGTCTGTTCTGGTAACCATGGATCCATCCTCTGGGGCTATTGTATTTATTTTATGTTGGCAAAAGTTTATTGAGTACCTATTGACACACCAGTCACAAAGTCCTTTCTTATTCATTCATTCTTCACTTTATCTTCTTCTGCACAGTTTGAAACCAAGTCAACTGTTTATTTGTATTGAAGTATTAAGTGGTCATTTATTTGGTTTATATGTAGTAGTAGTTTGTATTCTGCATTCAAAAGCATTTCTACATAGTGAAAATTAAGATGGCCATACTAACATACCATAAAGTTATTCTTACAGTTTTTATTATATTACTGATCATGAGAATTCTATTTAAAATATCAAAGTTTAGTAATGTGCTGTGGTGTTTCACATGTACTCTCTTAGTTTATCCTGATAATGATCATATAAGAAAAATGATATCTTCTTATCAAATGTTGTAAAATTAGAGTTGGACAAAAACACATTGATTCAAGACTCAAGCAAAAATTTTCTGTTTTTGAATGCCACCTTTTTGGTCCAAAATGGTGTTTTATAATCTTGGTGTCCAAATCCCATTTCTACAGTTTTTTATATCCCTTCTCCTACAAGTTCTGGCTGTGAGCATAGCTCTGTCCCTGGTTTCCCAGGTTCATGACTGTTTTCTGTCTGTTTCTTTTCTCCCAGAAGGCCAGGGCTTTGTGAGTGAAGATGAATACCTGGAAATCTCCAACATCAAACGTGACCAGTCTGGGGAGTATGAATGCAGCGCCTTGAATGATGTTGCTGCACCTGATGTGCGGAAAGTCAAAATCACTGTAAACTGTGAGTTGGCCCACTGTCAGGGTGTTTCAGGGGGAAAGATGGAATAGGGATTAAGGGGACAAGCTGGTGACGGCAATGCCATTTTCTGATGGACCCAAGTTGTTTCCCACAGGAAGACACTTGATCAGATTGTTGTGCCCCATCTCTGTCTCCATTGCCATTTACCCTGGAGTCTTCGTGTTACTGTCACAGCTTTTAGCTAATGGGGAAAATAGTTAGCTTAGAATTGGTTTGAAGTCCTAAAGAAGATACTGGAGTAAATGCAATATCTTCAAGCAAGATTTTCTTTCTAAAATAGATGGTTATGTTGCTGTGGGAGTAGGGTGTCATAAGAAATCCATTTGCCCCACAGGTGATGCACCAAAGATGAATGTGCCTTTCATCTTTTTCAAGGAATCACTTTGCCTATTCCTCCCACAGACCCTCCCTATATCTCAAAAGCCAAGAACACTGGTGTCTCGGTTGGTCAGAAGGGTATCTTGAGCTGTGAAGCCTCTGCTGTGCCTACAGCTGAATTCCAGTGGTTCAAAGAAGATACCAGGTACCTTGAAAGTGGAAATGGGGGACATCTGAAGCAGAGCTGATGGATCATTTCCCACAAGGAAGGAGAATGATAAAGTAAAGGAGGAAGTTATGGCAAAACCAAAATACATTATATCATTCTGTATAACAGTAGGCTTTTAGAACCAGAAACAAGAATAAAAAATAAATAAGTGGAGGAAGCTGAGAAATGGGCAAAATGAATTTACCTTGTTTTAGAATTGGAGATTAGTTGTACACATTGCAGAAGTCAGTGAATGTAGCCTTTGGAACGTGAGCATCCCTCCCTTTTCCCTCCTGATGGAAGATGTAGTGTTTATGGTTTGAATTACAGGAACTGGGTTGGTTAGAGGGAAGGGTTTCTGTAAAGATTAAGCTATGGTGTATAAGAGTTCTCCCAGCACCTCCTGTCCACTGTTTTACTCTGTTTGGCGAACCAGACCAGCACTGCCTTCTCTGTTGCAGGCTAGCGACTGGCCTGGATGGCGTGAGGATTGAGAATAAAGGGCGTATATCCACTCTGACTTTCTTCAATGTTTCAGAAAAGGATTATGGGAACTACACTTGTGTGGCCACAAACAAGCTTGGGAACACCAATGCCAGCATCACACTGTATGGTGAGTGCAGGAAGCCTGGATGCAGTGGGCTCAGCCACTTGAGGGGCTCGAGGGACTCAAGAGGGAGGAAGGCATGATCTGCTTGGCCTGTGTCCATCCATGCTGCTCAGCTCACCACCCTTAGAGACAAAACGCTTCTCCTTGTCATTCTCCTAGCATGTGACACTGTGGTGTTTACAAGGTAATTGATCTCTCCTGGTCTACTGAAAGGCAAGGTTTGCACCTTGCAAAAGGGGTAAACCAAAATCTGAACCAAGTTGAAGGTTGTTTGCCATAAAGAAAATAGAACCATGGACAGTTCAATTGTAGTGCTATGCAAAGGTATTGTAGGTAAAATAGACATAATTTTCAGATAATTTCTACATTAAGAGTCTATGATTCTGGAAAGTTATATTTATAGTTTTAAACCAAGTCAACTGCTGCCATCATGATTCTCATGTTGATGCCATGTCACGCTCTCATTCATTGGAATGTCTGGGGCAGTCCTGAGTCCCCATTAAGAGTGCTGTTCTGTCCCCAGCTGGAGCATCAAAGCCTTCTCTGGAGGTCTTTCTCGCCCATGTGGGTGGAGACAACAGAGCCATGATAGCCTCCCTTGGAAGCTCTTATCCTTCTATCACTAAAACTTCCCACCCTGCTGTGTCCATCTCCTTGTGTAACATTGTACACCATAGACCGGGGCCAGCTTGTTGTGAGATTTCTTGTGTGTATGTATTTGTTTATTTGCTGAAATTCAGTTAGAGGGAAGCATCTGGTGAGTAGAATGAAAAGGTATTCATTTTCCCATGTGCACATCAGACCCTGAACAAGCTTTCGGCATTAACATGAACTAAACTATGTCCACCAACCATCTGAAATGTGTGATCTATGTCTTTTGTTTTCTCTCTGCATTGTGTGTGCATTGTGCTGTGTGTGTCTTAGAAATAAGCCCCTCATCAGCAGTGGCAGGTGGGTACAGCATGTTCCTTCCTTCCTCTGCCTGCCTGAATGCCTATGCTTTTGAATTTAAGCCTACTTCAAAGATAGGCTTGCTTGCTCCACCTCCCTGATTGATTTCTCCTCAGTAGATAGACCTCAGGGATTTGGTCTGTACAGTTTAAGTAGTGAGCATGTAGAATTTGATGGCTTTTACATGCACACATATGAAATACCACTATATGCTTCAGAGGAATGATTTTTCCCCAAACAATACACTTCTATTGGTGGCCTTTAAAAGGGACGAGCACTTTGCTATTTCTGTACACAACAGCACCAAGAGGAGCCCAGCCCAGAGTCCATTATTGTCTCCATGGGGAAGTTACCTGAGAATGAATGTTTTATACTTTCAGCCCAAGAAAAAGAGGGCTGAAAAGTTAATTCTAGAGTCCTCATTTTAATGTAGAAGCACTTGGAGTCATTAATAGTAATAATAATATGTACCGGTTTCTAGACAGCATGTTAGTACTGTGCAAGACAGGCTATTAACCCCATTTTATAGATGAATCAAAAGGGGGACCAAAGAGGTTAAGTAACACTGATGTACACGTAGCTAATGAGTAGACACTGACTGAGCCTCAGAACTGGGCTCTTCATCATATAGAGCAGTGTTTACCCAGAGGATAACTAGACTGAGACATATGTACACACTCATACATTGAGATGAAGCAGCAGGCAGTGCTCAGCTCTGCTTCCAGAGGTAGAAGTCTTGCAGCCCTACTTTTCTTTGATCACTCTCAGTCATATAAAAAGTGGTAGCTTTTTAATTTCCCAGACCTGGAAGCAGCTATGCAAGAGTCACTTCTCACAACTCTGGATCTAGCACAATCACAGTCCACTAGTTCTGCCCACACCTCGATGTCTATGACTGTCCATCACTTGGCCTTGATAAAACCATAAAGAAAGCATGGGTTTGGGGTGCTACTCAGCCACTGACCTGCTATCACCCCATCAGTTGGTGGGGTCATCAATGGCAGGAAATATGGCAGTTGAAGAACCTAGGACTAATGACTAGATGACCAGGTTAATCCTTTTTATCATTAACTAAGGAAAGTGGTGTGTCAGAGCAGATGACACCAGCAGGTATGTATGTTAAGGCTGTATTAGTCTGCTAAGGCTGCCACAAAAAAATATCATAGGCCAGTGCCTTAAACAACAGAAATTAATTTTCTCGGAGTTTAGAGGCCAGCAGTCCAAGGTCAAGTCAGGAAGATCTATTACCTATTATTAATGAGGGCTCTCTTCCTGGCTTGTAGATGGTTACTCTGTTTTCTCATGCCTTTTCTCTGAGCATCTGTGGGGAGAGAGAGATAGAAAAGTTACAGGTGGAGCTAGAGATAGAGAGAGAGGAAGAGAGGGAGAAAGGAGAAAGGGGCAGGGGGAGAAAGGGAGAGAAAAGGGAAGGGAGAACGAGGGAGAGGGAGAGAGAGAGATTACTCTCTGGTGTGTCTTATTAGGACAATGACCCTATTGAGTCAGAGCACTACCCTTATCACCTCATTCAACCTTAATAATTTTATTGTAGTCTTCATCTCCAAACACACATGGGACAGTTAGGGCTTCAACATATAACTTAGGGGGGCACAATTCAGTCCACAGGAAAGACATAGCTTTATTTCCCAATTTGGCTGGCCACATGCCAGCTAGTTAATTTTGCTGAGCCCTAGTTTCCCCATGTATGCTATTGGGATATTAATTCCTGCCTTAAAAGGCTAGTGAGAGTACTAAATAAGGTTATACATAAACATATATTTCCATAAGTGCTCTGTTTAGATGTGTGGCTTTGACAACTCTCAAAGACTACAGACCTCAGTTTACTCAGCTAAAGTTGGGATACTGCTTCCTGACCTGCTGACTGTCATTGTGAATTATCAGTAATGTAATGTTTATCACAGAGTTATGACAAACTGAAGACATAAATATAAGGTACTATAATTAACACTGGTAATGCTTTCCATGAGACAGCCCATCTTATCACTGCTGCTCTTGTGGCTGCCAGAATTATCATTCAGCTGGACTTGTCCTTGCCTTTCCTCCAGAGTCTCCCATCCACTTTCACTACAGCACCATCAATCTGCATAACTCACCCTACTTTGCTTCAACCATTTAGTGTCCATTCAGCATCCCTTCCTTAAGGAAGCCTTCCCTGACCTCTAAGAGTAGGTCAGTCTCCCCACTATACACCTTCTCATATAACACTTCTAAATGCTGCACTCAACACAGTGCATCCTCTAGCATTCATTCAACAAACATTCATCAGGACCAGTGATGAGTGGGGCTGTTCTGAGGGAGGAGGATATAACAGTGACACAACAGATAGATGCCCAGTCTCTATAGACTTCACTTTCTAGTTGCAATGCTATTTTTGTTTCATTTATTTCATTTGTTTTTTTTATGAAAGACCTTTTTCTTTTTCAGCTTATGTGTTCCACAAACAGGGACTTTGTCTGGTTTGATCCTTAAAACACAATAGCCAGTCAGGAAATTTTTGATGAATGAATGAATGAATAGAGACCAGAGGTTGTGTTGGTGATGCCAGGGACAGGATTTCAGCTGTCAGGAATAAAATGTGACAGAATAGAATAGGGCCTATGAGTCTCAGAGCCTCTTTGAAGCCAGATTCTGCTGCTCACTCTGAGTGGCTTTGGGAAAGTCAATCTCAGTGTGCACTGGGTTTTTCATCTATCATTCAAGTGAAAACATTTGAATAAGATGTTCTCCATGATCTACACAGACTAATTCCCTGATACTATGCTTGAGTGGCAATAGCTTTAACACTAGATTAAAGTGATACTGTCCACTTGGCAAACCCTTTCCAATGTCTGTGAATGTTCTCTCTAGTCTTACAATCGTGGCTAAGTAGTACTAACCCTTACTGCCTATGGGGCCAGTAGACTAAGTGTTCTACATGTTTTATCTGATGTAATGACTCTAGGAAATAAGTACTATATTTACCCCAATTTTATGGAGGAGGAATTTAAGAGGTTAGGCAGATTGTTCAGCTCACACTGGCTTATAAGTGCCTGAGATGGAATTTAGCCTATGCATTCTGGTTCCAGTGTCTCAGCTGTTTCTACTATTCCATTACAACTCACAATACTATGCAATCCATCATAGATCTTGGTGGATGGCATTCTAGATGGAACCCCATATTAACAATAAGCCTTCTCAGACCCTATTCCCACATCAAAATCTCTCCTTCTCTACCTAAACATAAACCTATTGTTTTAAAGGACAATTTTGACATTTGCAACCCAAAAACACATACCTCCCAAACACATAACGCACACACACCACATTCCCAAGCATGCATTGGTGGTTGCCTTCAAAGACTGTAAGCTTCTATTTTGGAGACCCTTTTGATTCTGCACTGTGCATCCATAACAACCCACACTCATAACAGACCTCTTACACAAACACATCTTTCACATACATTCCTACCTACATGCAAAGAACAAAGAAAATCAGAATAAAAGCAATTTGAAACACACAGAAAGCAAAGACAATAGAAACAATGGGTTGGTGAGTGGGTTGAAACTGGGAGTGATTAGGTAAACTGTGAGAGACAACACAGGTAAGTGGGAGATACTCAAAGATGAAACAGTGTTTGGCATTGACATCAAAGGTTTGTTTCTTGAACACCAGTTACGACGCCTTCAAAACCCAACAGACCAGATAGTTCATACAGGCAATGTGCCAACTCAAAGTGGCATTTTAGCCTCTGTAGTTTCTTTAGCCCTTGGTAACTGCAAGATCTGGAAAAGCAGCGGAATATAGAGAAGAGAGAAGTACTAGGGAAGTACTTGCTCCTAGAGAAGTACTAGGAGCAAGGGAAACTGGGTTCTAGTCCTCACTCTGCTATGACCAACCTATGACTCCCCCTGTTCCATGGTTACCTATGAATGCAGATGGAAGGTGACTTGACTTGGGGTGATGAACACACAATGCAGTATGTAGATGATGTGGAATGGTACACCTGAAACCTGTGTAATTTTATTGGCCAGTGTCACACCAATATATTCAAT